CTGTCCAGTATTAAAGTTTTCCTATTTTCACTTAATCATAATATCCTCCTAAATATAACTTGCTAGAATTACCAGTGTAGTTTATCCTATGAACCCTGAGTTTTCCTGGAGTTATTTGGCAAAAATAGTTTTCTATTCAGTGTTATCTGGACTAATAATTTCACTGGACATTCAGTGTTTTAAAAATGCTTCGAGTTCTCAAGCAAAAGCTACTTTAAAGGAGTAAACTGATTTGGATCAGAATCTCAAAAAAAGGAGATAAGTCACAGAAAACAGATTTTTATGACATATTTCAACAAATTGAAGGAACTAGTTTAAAAGACTTCATAGGGAAAACCACAATTGATGCTTAATTGGTTTTTGTTTTTTAAAAAATTACCTGCTTCAGATTTTAAAATTGAGACAGATAATCTACAACCACAAAAGAAAACCTTACTAATGTTGTTTTAATCAAAGACATAATTAAGAAATTAAGTCTTGCCCAAAGCTACATATGATATATTCCAAAGCCAGATGTCAATTTTTTTCTGGTTTTCTTGTGTTGTAAATAATGTTATTTTTATGCATTTCATTAGCCTAGGTATCAAGGATTGGCTGTGTAAAGAGAGGTTCATAAAGGTTGGCTGAATTTAAAGAAGGAGGCTCAGGCTTTAAGAAAAGGCTATTCTCATACACAGTCTGATTGAGAGAGGGAATCAGAAATTTAATCAAATAAATGACTAGAGGAAACAATAGTGGCTCAAAAGAGGGATTTAAGGCAGACTATGGAGGACAGGTACAAAGAAATAATAACAGCTTACCAGGGGTATGATCAGTAATAAAGGAAATGGGATACGTCTTGGCGTGAAAGAAAAAAGGCATAACTGGAAAAATACCCTCCAATACCTCAGTGACAAGAAGAGAGCAATGAAACTTCACTCCCCTTTTTGATTGGGGTTAGAAAGTTCATTATAGGTATCACCAAAAAGTCAAAAGATTTTTTATTACATAAAAAATTTAATCTTGGGGGAGGGAGATGGATAAAGTAAATAATGAGCATAAGTTATAATTATGAGAATATAAAACTTGAAATTGCTAGAGATAAATTTAAAATAAAGGAGAACTCATTAATTTCATGGCCTATTTTGAGTTATTCGAAAGGGAGGGATATAGTATAAAGTTAAAGTTAACTGGATTTCTGGATTAACTACAGATATAAACCAATCGAGTAAAACATTTATTAATGGGGGCCGGCCCAGTGGCGCACTGGAGAGTGCGCAGCTTGGGAGTGCGGCGGTGCTCCCGCCGAGGGTGAGGGTTTGGATCCCATGTGGAGACCGGTTCCCGCTCACTGGCTGAGCGTGGTGCGGGCGCAACACCGAGGGTTGCGATCCCGTTACCGGTCAGTAAAAATGACAAAAAGGAAAAAAAAAATTAATTAATGGTATACTATTTACATATACTGGGGGATACCAAAAGTTGGGGACATGGGTTCATACCCCTAAGGAAAGCAGGATTATAAGAATTTTAAGGGAGATATAATTATCAGGCAGCTGATAAGTGCAAATTCATGATATAAAGGAGAAAGAGCTTGGAGGGTTGGGGAGGTAATCTTCACAGAGATAATAAAATTTGACCCTGGCCTTAAAGGATCATTAACATGTGTATGGAGGAAGGAAAGTGGGGGAGGTCAAAGGGGAAAGGTATTCATCCATCTAATCAGCATATTTATGTTGAGCCACTACTAAGTGGTAGACAATTGGCCATACAGTGGAAAATAAAATAGGTAAGGCTTTTAGCCTGTATGGAATTTATATTTCTGTGGAAGAAGACAGAAAGACAACAAGAGGGACAATAAATAAGTAAACAGTACATGAAAAATCTGATGTCAAATAGTGATAAATAGTGTAGATAATGATCAGGGACAAGGAAATTATAGAAGGCTAGTTATAGTCTGATTTATTCTGTGAATAACTTATTCTGTGAATAGCCTTTGATAGTCAGATGAATAATGTTAATGTTATAACTTTTTAATATTCTCATGCAGTCCAAACCAATTTGAATAGAATTCTACACACTAACTTCATCTTTAACCAGTTTTTTTAAAAAAGAAACCTATGTGACTTTTTTTTTTTAAAGTGGAAGCATGCAAGCTTTGAGTTTTTAACTCCTTGTTAATAATTTATCCACAATTCATTTGCTGCCATTTGCTAAGAATTTCATGTTTTTTACAGTGAGGCTAATACCATTGTTCTTTATTTAGTTGGGTTTTTGATATATTGGGCTAAATACTTAGGTTAGATTCTCCATTAGGAACAGTAATCACAACAGAACTATGAAGTGAAGCTACATTCCAAGAACAGTTTGTTTTGTTGGTACCTTGTATGAGAGCATAAAAAACGAGAGATGTACAGATAGTATAAGTTATTGGGCTTAATTACCAGATAGGTAAAATAGGGTATGGGATGATACCTGTTCAGGTTGTGTCCACATGGTACAGAAATTGAAAGGTAAATTTGGATCGTGTTATACTCTATATGCTTAATGATGTCTCCTTAAAGATTTGTAAGGGAGTCAGTGGTTACACTGAAAATATTACCTTAAACTTAAAATTTTTCCTGTCTACAGAATAGTAGAAACCTGAATGAAAGTGTTCTGAAATGGGGAAGTGTGGATTCTTAACTATAGTTATCTGACTGCTAGATTTATTTTGTTGTTGTTTAGAATATCTCATTTATAGTGTCAACTAAAAACTTACCAGTGACTCAAGTTTGTGAGCATTTACAAAGTGCTTCTCCAGTATTCTTTAAGAAATATGTTCTCTCCCTTTCTCCATTCTTTTTGCAGTTTTAAACTTAAAAAAAAAATTATAGGTGAAATTGACATAAACGATTCCAAAGAGTTTATATTTAGTGTATGTGTCTATAGATCCAAATCCCTCAAATTATTCTATATGCACCTAACTGGTTTTCATTTACAGTATATTCTGACGCACATGAAAGAAGACTATAGAAAACAAAACAATTTTAAGATGAGGTAGAAAATCCTTTAGTATTCCCTTGATTTCCTTCTAAACTAACTACTTCATTTAGAAAAGAATTGTAGATATTAATGCTGGGGGTCTGTTGTGTGTGTCATAAAAGCCAATTTGACTTGTACTCCTCAAAAGTATTTGGGAAAGACAGAATTCAGATTTGTTTTAATGTCTGGGGGTGGGCAGTGGTGGTAGGGCAAACTGAAGTTTATAGAAAAAAAATGCATTATGAATTGTAATGGTATGGCACAATAATTAATATTACATCTATTCTTCCGCTAAAAATTAATGGGGAAGGACATTAGAGACATAGAGAAGTATATGCTATTTATTGTTTTCATTGTACATAAGTTTTTAAAATATACAACTAATATCCTAGGATAGTGCCTAGTAGAGTCACCTTTTGATAAATGTTTGCTAAATAAATTAATTGTCAAAACTTTTCATAGCAGTTTCATTATATCTGTAGCTTAGAGCACTGTTTTTTGAGCTTTGAGTTGCAACCTGCAGGAGGTTGATTTACATTCTTGGGTACCTGACGCTTGTTTGAGCAATATGCTCACATTGGAGGGGTCTCAACCTTACCCCTGGCTTTGACCCTTTGGCTGACTTGACCTATTCCTTTCCAAAATGGTGTGTGGTTGTTTCCTGCCACCTCTTTCTGCTCACAGTCTGTCAGCTCTTTCCCTTCCTGAACACTTGAACTGTGTCCTCTTCTGGTAACTTCTCAGAATACTCAAGTATATGTGTCCCTATGCTGGTCTGTTTTGTAATGGGTTTGTTAGTTGTTTTTATTTGTTGTTTGGTTAGCGGAGAAGCACATTCCTCAGGAAGATAGATCTTGACTTTGTTTTATAAACTGTACATGGTATATGAAGCATGGTATTATTTTCTCTTCCTTTGTAGCTTTAGTTAAAAATCTTGGGTTCACCTGAAAAAGAACTTATAAGAATATTTTGATAATACAAACCAACTGAAAACTAAAACTAACAAAGACTTTTTTTTTTAAAGACAATCAGGAAATTTGAACATGGAGTGTGTATTAGATGATATTTAAGAATTATGGATAACCCCAAGGTCAAGGGCTCAGATCCCTATATAGGCCAGCTGCCAAAAAAAAAAAAAAAAAAGGAAATATACCCATAACATTTTCAGCTATAATAATGGTGTTGTGGTTATGTTAAAAAATTCTCATCTGTTTTCTTTTTTTTTTCCTTTTTGTCTTTTTTCGTGTCCGGCAACGGATCGCAACCCTCAGTGTTGCGCCCGTACCGGACCGGAACCAGCAATGGGATTGCAACCCTCGGTGTTGTGCCCGCACCTCACTCAGCCAGTGAGCGGGAACCGGTCTGTATGTGGGATCCGAACCCTCAGCGGGAGCGCCTCCGCGCTCCCAAGCAGCGCACTGTAGCAGTGCGCCACCGGGCTGGCCCAAAAAATTCTCATCTGTTAAAGATACATATGGAAGTATTTCTAGGCAAAATGAAATGATGCCTAATATTTGTTTTTAAAAACTTCAGGATAGGCACAAATACACAAAAGTGGGAAATAAAACAATATTGGCAAAGTTTTGAAAATTGTTGATGCTGAGTATTAGGTACATTGGGTTTGTTATTATTTTCTGTACATTTTTGTATATTTGGAAATACCCATAATAATGAGTTAAAATATATATTAGCAATTATAACTGTAGGGGAAGAAATTTAATACAATGAGTTATGTGGTTGGACATTTGAGCTAATTGGCTAATCAGATATCTCCACTTTGCATTTTCTATAAGCTCTGTTTTTAGTAATAAATTTTTAAAAATAAGGAGAATTTTGTAGAAACATTATAAGTATTTAAAACTCAACTTTGAGACCTTGCAATAATCACCTTCTAGTTTATAAATTGCTTTGACATATCTTGTCTCTCTTATCCTCAGAACAAGTCATGAGTTACCCATTTTACAGATGAGGAAACCAAGGCCTTATAGAGACTAATTTATTCAAATCCCAAAGCAAGTAAGAAGTGGTGCTAGAACTGGAGCCAAGATCTTCTAATTCATTTTCAGGTGCCCATTCTCTTATATGCACATACTTGTAAGTGTTCTTTTTTGTGATGATTTCCAAATACTTTGGTCTCAGTGTAACTCTTAAAAATTATTGAGGATCCCAGAATCTTTTGTTTATGTGGACTATATCAATATTTAACTTATTAAAAATTAAAACTGAGGAATGTTTAAAATAGTCATAAAAATAACAAACATTAAAGTATTAACATAAATAGTGTACTTCTATGAAAAAGGTATTCTAAAACAAAGATCTAGTGAGAGAAGCGTGGCATTGTTTTAATTTTGCCTTTCTCTTTAATGTTATTGCCTAATAAAAGACAGCAGGATTTGCATAACTGCTTTTATATTCGTCCTTGTGATATGTTGTTTTGATTGAAGTATATGAAGAAAACCTGGCTACACAAAGATACATAGTTGAAAATAAGCAGAGTATTTAATAGTCATTTCATGTAGTTGTGAGTATTCTCTTACACCAAAACCCAACAATTGGTAGGTTCTTAAAGGTTAGTGGCAATGTTGAAATCTGAAACCATATCAATGAATTTTTTGTACTCTGTAACATTAATTCTATTTGCCTGTTTTTGCACTTTGAATGGATCTTTGACCTGTGTGTGATTTTGTAACATTATACATTGGTCATTCAAAAAATAATGGTTTACTCAGTTAAGCAGATCTTTCAAAATGTTAACACATTTGATTATACGCTAGTAAACAAATCACACTCATTAATATGACTATCAGTCTCATCAAAAAAGTCTTTAAGAATTGGGAGTGGCCATTATCTTGGTGGCGAATTCAAGTTTTCCAAAATCTTAATTTTCTCTTGAAAGCTCAAATTTTATTATTGGCCACAGATATTGACTTCAAGTTTTCCTTGAAGTAACAGGCTCACTTCATTTATTTTAGAGACAGAGTCTGCCAAATACCTAAGTCTGAATAACTATGTTATCTGCTAGTCATTCTTTTAAGCAGTAATGGTATTCTGTGAAAAAAGCTAACTCAGTTTTGTAAATGCTTTTCCTCCAGATAGTCATTGTACTCATGTATGCAGCAGAAGTGCTTTATGTGTACTTCACATTTCATTATACAGTATGTTAAAAAGACCAAGTTCTCGGGGCCCGTCCGTGGCTCACTCGGGAGAGTGCGGTGCTGATAACACCAAGGCCATGGGTTCGGATCCCATATAGGGATGGCTGGTTGGCTCACTGGCTGAGCCTGGTGCTGACCACACCAAGTCAAGGGTTAAGATCCCCTTACCGGTCATCTTTTTTTTTTTTTTTTTTTTTTTAAAAAAAGACCAAGTTCTCAAGAGCTGTAATTTAATAAAATTAATAACTTTTATTGTTTTTATCAAGGACTTTGTTAAATGAAACTGACTTTAAAATGATTGGTAGGCAGTGAAGAATACACAAGCACATGTTTCGTTAGCTGTCAGAGTGATACATCATCATCACATGATCCTCTGGAATCATGGATGGCCGGTTCGCTCACTGGCTGGGCGTGGTGCTGACAACACCAAGTCAAGGGTTAAGATCCCCTTACCGGTCATCTTTTTTTTTTTTTTTTTTTTTTAAAAAAAGACCAAGTTCTCAAGAGCTGTAATTTAATAAAATTAATAACTTTTATTGTTTTTATCAAGGACTTTGTTAAATGAAACTGACTTTAAAATGATTGGTAGGCAGTGAAGAATACACAAGCACATGTTTCGTTAGCTGTCAGAGTGATACATCATCATCACATGATCCTCTGGAATCACTGTTGTACATTCATGGGAAAATAAGAGTGAAGAAGGCAGATAATATCTTTGTATGACCAAGCATGGTTTGAACATTTATCCTCTGAAGATGTGCCCGCCCCCGTCTCTTGCCCCCTGTCTCTGGATCCCACTTTGAAAACTGCTGGTATAAGCTAGAGCTGAGTTCTAACACCTTCTTAGAGCAGTCTGGCACACACATCTACATCAATAAAGTAATGTTTCCATCTTAACTGCTTATTAATTTGTCAGGGAGAGGGAAATATGCTAGTATGTGGGATGAGCGTCTGATCCAGAGACCACAGTAGGTGGAAAGTCATGTAACATCAGAGAGTGGTGGATAAAGGGTAGACAGAAGGGAGGAGTCAGTAAAAGCACTTGACAGCTTATCAAAAAATGATCCTTTGAGCTACCCATTTTTTTAAACTAAAAAAGCACTGTGCCAACATACACACATGTGCATACTCATTTATATCTGCATTCAAAATCAGGAGTATTAAGTCATTTTTTTTCCCCTGAGTGACAAGAGAGGAGAGATGAAAACTTGAGAGGAGAACAGAGTGCTCATGGCAGTTGTTTGCTTCATTCAACTACGGAGGCTGTCGACCTTTTTTTTGTGGGAAAGCTGAGGGATGACAGAAGACAAATGAGGTTGGAAAGAAGAAATGGCGAGAGAAGAGTGAGTGGAGTAGGCATTAGTGATCATGGGAATAGCTGTAAGCAGAACTGGGCTGTGGACAGTTAAGCGTTGGAGGGCGTAGAGGAAGGCTACAGAATGAACTGGGTTCCCCGTGTGCTGGACGCTGGAAGAATGGTGCCAGGGCAGATACAGAGGTGGGTGCAACAGGAGTCATGGAGACTGGACATATATTTGAAAGATTTCCATCAAAATGCAGTTAAAGGCTGGCCAGTTACCTCACTTGGTTAGAGCATGGTGCTGATAACACTAAGGTCAAGGGTTCAGAGCCCAATACCAGTCAGCTGCCAAAACAAAATAGTACAGTTAAAATAAGTGTACTAGATGGTCTGACTTTCAGTGTCTTAGCAATATTCACATTCTGTTATGTTAACCCATGTATTTAGTTATAGTAGGGGAAAACAGCAATGGTAGAGTGTTAGGGAAGTCTTGAAGCTTTGGTTAGAAGCATCTGTATATGATGATATGGAAATATTGACTGGGCTAGGTTTGAGTCTGCAAGTTCAAGAATGAAACTTCAGTATTTTATTTTTTACTAACAGGAAGTTATGATTAAAGGAGACAGGAGTTTAGTTTAAACATATCATTTATCAGTTTTTAATTTATTGGATACTTATTTCCAAAAAGGATTTGAGATGGCAGAAGGAAAGATCAAAGTTAGTAAGCGAAGAACAAACGTGGGGCTGAGTCACATTTTTCCTAATTCCTGTATTGATAACATTTATCTTAATAGAGCCATGTAGTTGAGGTACTATAACTATAATTAAATTAGTCTCTATTAACTATATAGGATAAATGTAGTCCTGTCATTTTTTATGTGCATTTAGTACAGTTGACCCTTGAACAATGCAGGTTGAACTGCACAGGTCCACTTAAAATGGGATTTTTTCCAATAAAAATAAAACCTTTTGGAGATTTATGAAAATTTCAGGGCCGGCCCGGTGGCGCACTGCTACAGTGCGCCGCTTGGGAAGCGCGGCAGCGCTCCCGCCGAGGGTTCGGATCCCACATTACAGACCGGCCGCTCACTGGCTGAGCGAGGTGCGGGAGCAACACCGAGGGTTGCGATCCCGTAGCCGGTCCCGGTCCGGTACGGGCGCGACACTGAGGGTTGCGATCCGTTGCCTGTCACGAAAAAAGACAAAAAGGAAAAAAAAAAAAAGAAAATTTCAAAAACTCATGGATGAGCCGTGTAGCCTAGAAATATCAAAAAAAAGGAAGTTAGGTATCCGTGAATGCATAAAATATATGTAGATATTGGTCTATTTTATCATTTACCACCATAAGATATGCACAAATCTGTTATAAAAAGTTTAAATTTATTGAAATTTGTGCATGCAAATACAGACCCTACATGGTACCATTCGTGGTAATTCACAGTGGAGAGAAATGTAAACAAGTGTAAAGATGCAGTATTAAATCATAACTGCATAAAATTAACTGTAGTACATACTATACTACTGTAATAATTTTGTAGCCACCTCCTGTTGCTATTGAGGTGAGCTCAAGTGTTGGGAGTATACGTTCAGAATGCCCTGTGAAGCTAATCATCTCCACATGAGTGGTTGGCCTCCATAAATTGCATAAGGCAGTAAAAAGTGACCTTGTGGTTTTCTCTTCCTTATGATTTTCTTAATAACATTTTCTTTTCTGTAGATTACTTCACTGTAAGGATACAGTTTATAATACATGTATAGAACACAAAGTATGCATATGTGTTAATCAACTGTTTATGTTATCAGTAAGGCTTCGAGTCAACAGTAGGCTATTAGTAGTTAAGTTTTGGGGGAGCCAGAAGTTATATGCAGATTTTCAACTGTTTGGGGGTTGATGCCTGTAACCCCTGTGTTCAAGGATCCACTGTATAAGTAGAATGTGTATGGGTCATGGAAGTGAGACTGGGCAGGAAAATCAGGCCATGCCACAGAAAAAAATTTTTTTTAATTCAAGACTGCTTTTAGTCGTACTTAACAGAAAGCCACTAGCAGAGGCTTAAACCATAGCTATTTATTATTTCCTTATGCAGTAAACAGAAGTTCAGAGGTCGGTGGTCTCAGGGTTGGTTCAGCTGCTCAGCAGTGTCATCAAGGCCTGGGACTCTCCAGTCTTTGACTCTGCTGTCTTTTGCATGTTCACTTACAGTCCTCATGCTTGTTACCACCAGGTCACAAAATGGCTGTCTCCGCTTTAGGCATCACATCCCTTTTCGAGGCAAGAAGGACAGAGCAAGCAATTCTGCCTCTTGTGCCTGCCTCACAGAAGACAACATCTTTCCTGGAAGCTCCCAAACAGTTTTCTCTTCAGTCTCATTTGCCTGAATTGTTTCACAAGATTGCCTCCACTCACAGGAGAGACTGAGGATGTGAACGTTTGGCTGAGGGGAATTGGCTTAACGTGCACCATCATCTACAAGGCTTAGGCACACTGCTGCCTCCTATAAAACTGGGATTCTGGTAGCACATTAGAGGGGAAGAAACGTATGTTGGGTAGCTAAGTGTGTGTGTGTCACAAACATGCAGAAAGGAAAGCACGAGAGTGAGTATTAAGTGA